GCCCGGATTCTAGTCCTGACTCTGCTGTTGACTTGTTGTCTGACCATAACCTGGCAAGCCCCCTGACTCTGAGTCCCTCAGTTTCTTCATAAGGGTAGTAATATTATCTACATCAGAGGTGGTTATAAGGGCAGAGTGAGATAAAAGTAAAATTGCTTTGAAAAACAAAAGCAATAATACAATGTATCTATATCTATCTATCTATCCATCCGTCCGTCTATCTATCTATCTATTTATCTATCTATCTATCTATCTATCTATCTATCTATCTATCTATCTATCATCATCTATTCCTTACCATAATATTGAGAATTAGTAATATAGCTAATGGTGGGAATCTACTGTTTTTAGCTTGGAAAAGTATAAAATGACTTAGCTGATTTCAAATAAATTTTTTAAATTGTGAAAAAACATTTAAATTAGAATTGTCTTAATTCAGCAAAAGGATGTAGGTGGGTATAAGAATTCATAATTAAAAGCTTCCATTAAGCAACCTGTAAAGAACCATGTGCATGCAATAGACAATCATCAAATATAACTGGCTTTCATCTGGTCTTGTTTGAAGGGAAGGGGGTGAGACTAGCTGATTTCTTGTAGACTATAGGCATTAATAAGTAGAGGACACTTTAACTTTCCCTAGAGGAACTATGAAGTAAACAGGCAGGTGGATTACAGATAGAGTGACCATATAATTTGCTATCCAAACCAGGACACTTTTTTTTTTTTAGCTGAGGAAGATTTGCCCTGAGTTAACATCTGTGTCAGTCTTCCTCTGTTTTGTATGTGGGTTGCTGCCACAGCATGGCTGACGAGTGGTGTAAGTCCACGCCCAGGATCCGAACCTGTGAACCCTGCTGCAGAAGTGGAGCACATGGAACTTAACCGCTACGCCATGGGGCCAGCCCCACTAGGATCCTTTTAAGAGTAAAAACGGGCACTATTAATAATTTCGCACGACAGCAGGCATAAACCAAAACTGTCCTTGGTAAACCAGGACCTATGTCACTTAGTTATAAACACCTCTCCCCAAGGTGAGTAATTTCAGAATAAAATCACAAACAATATGATTCTGAAATGTAGCCAGCCTTTCTGTACTGAGGCTGGCTGCATCGCTGTTGGACTGAGCAAGTGTGAGAGTGGAGGACTGCAGAAACCCCAGGAGGCTAGTGTGTGGTGAGCTGAAGGGGGCAGCTTCAGGCGGGAGGGACAGAAGAAATGTTCCCAGGTTTCTTTGAAGTGAGGTAGCAAGCATGTGCCTGAGCTGTTGTCTGCTGAGAAGCCACAGTACCAGATACACCAGCCTGGTATGTCAAGTGTAGAGACGAGTGACTGTGAATAAAAGCTTCAGGCCAATGTCAAGTCTACCAAACAGAGTTGCAAACGGCTCCCGGTTCTGCAAGCAAAGTCTGCTGACATAAATCAAAGAGCAATCTTCCAAGGTTGGCAGTGTGGGAAGGACTGGCCACTCGTCACACTTCAGTGTTCTCCGCCACGGTTTCACCCATGGAGAGTAATTACCGTTAGTGGTGTCATCTGAGAGTTATGATGGCAAGGGTAGAACTTGTCTATGAGGTGAATGGAGAGGATTACACGCACCCATGTCTAGAAATACAATTTATCTCTCACCATTTATATTTACTCCCAGAATCATATGGAATCACTTAGAAATATTTTCCCTTTGAGGTGTTCCTTCTCAGGATTTATATAAAGTGTCTTATTCCCATGCCTTATTTCCTTATCTCCAGCACCTGTTTATGGAAGCTTATTGTGGCCTTAAATCCCTGCCAGGCGAAGAAGCCTAAAGAGATTTTACTAAAGGGGTTCCCAGGGATAAATCATTGTTCACAAGAATCACATATGATTAGGACTGTTCTAAATTCTGAATAATATAACCTGGCAGCATTTGAAGGCCCGGGGAACTGCCCATTCCTGGGAAAGACTCTGTAACACTTAAGATGGGAAATCAAAAACAGGAGGTGTGTCAAAGCCTTGCCATCAACTCTGCTCTGGTCCTCAGCTCTGTGAAGTCCTGAGCCAGGAATGTCACACATGGTGGGGGTGGCCTTCCATGACTGGATGATCAGCTTTGTAATCGAAGTGTCATTGGCTCTTTTGATGTGTCTGACATGAACTTTATAGTGCCAGTCTTTCCAGTGAAAGATTCCATTTTACTATTTCCTTATGGAGATAGTTATAAAAGAAATGAAATAGAAGATTTCATTTGAGGGCAAGAAGCACAAAATAGATATTTATACTCCCTTTATTTATTTTTTGTCTGTTTTTTAAACATATATTGCCACTAAAGGAAGTGGTGTCCAGCGTTGGCATTAGTTTTATGTTTTGCAAGAACATGAACAGAATGGGCCTAACACTCTCTTTCAGTGACTATGAATCCATTTTTGTTATGTGTTATGCATTTATGGTATAAAATTCTATGTTACCAATTCACAAAATAATCCTGGAACTTGCATTATTCACTGAGGCCTCTGAAATAATGAATACATTTAAAAACAGTCTTGTGATCATATTAATATTTGTAACTAAATAGCAGTAGACGTAGAAGTCAATACATTGCTATTGCCATGGTATTAATCCAGCCTTGGAACAAACTATACATCCCACAATTAGTTCACAGTTGTTTTTCAGCACAGCTTTTTCTCAGTAAATACTTAAAAAGAATTTTAAAAATTAACTATTTTCTAACTTCTGGCAAAATCATTTCTTATTATGGAAAAGTAGCAATTTCCAAGGCCAGATTAACTTTATGTTATTTTCCCTCCCATTCTGATAAAAGGGTAGGTCAGTATTCCACTGTTCAATTTCTAAATCATGTTATTTCCAGGAAAGAGAATCTTTCTGATTACTGTTCAGTCTTCTTTGCTGAATAAATATACAAACATATGTAATTTTCTGTTTTTCAGAATGGTAATGGTGGTATTTCAAGTAAGTGGAGTCCCAACCCTCGGTGGTGCTGGGAACGCCTCCTTAAACGTGCTTATTGGCAGTGCTCTGCCCTTCTGCTTAGGGGTAGATTCTCTAGGCTTCATCTTATTCTGTTTGAATGTTCCCCATTTGCACACATTTAACAATTGCTTGGGAGCTTGAAGTTTTAATGTCTTAGGTTTCTCTTAAAATTTTTCTTTTATTTTAATTTTTGTATTACATCCTTTTACTCAAAGGTGAGGTTAGATCTAATAGACGAGACCCTCTGAGATCATGAAATCAATCTTTGTTGATTCTAGGCATTAAACTAAAATGATGCAGTATTTAGGCTTTCTCAGAGGACAGCGTCAAACACATTATGGATAGCTTCCCGTGATTAGAGCATCCTAACATATTACAGATCCCGGCTCTCCAGGGTGCGGAACCCAGGATTAGCTCTTTGACAAAACTGTAAATAGCAGTCAACTGTTTAATGACATAATGTGAATTTTTATAGGCTCATCTAATTGTACAACCAGATTTCTCTCTGAGCACTTGAGATAAATCTTCACTCACTCTCTGGAATTGTTCAACACACAGGTTAATTTCTTACTATTGATTTTCTCCACTGTGCAACTTGCGTGCTTCAAGATCTCTTGACCTACACAAAAAAATCTGTGACTGTCAATTTAAAAAGAATAGCTCTTCAAAAGAATGCTTGAGAAATCAGTAAAGATATGAAATAACTCTTCCCCAACTATTAGCAGGGCAGGTTAACTGGACATTTTGATTAGATTTTGAGGAGAGAACAAAAGCGTGAACATTTACAAGAAGAGGTTTCATATATTAAAGCTTCTGAATGTGAAAGCTACTCTTGTAGGCATCCCCAGGAAGGCACGGTATTCTTACCTAGTGACTGAAAATTTCAAGTTAAATCAGAGTAATAACCAGAACCACTTGGGTAACAGAGTGAGGCAACACCACGCAGGAGGAAAGCACTGGACAGGGGTCGGAAGACCCAACCACCCTGCAGGAACTAGGACTACCCTCTCCGGGCTTTTGTTCTTCATCTGTAAAAACAAGGGATTGGATTCTAAGAGTCTTTCCAGTTCTAAAAGTCAATGCTTCTATATCCAAGATGACATGTACATTTTTTTGTGTGTATGTGAGGAAAATTAGTGCTGAACTAACATCTGTTGCCAATCCTCCTCTTTTTGCTGAGGAAGATCGACCCTGGGTTAACATCCATGCCCGTCTTCCCCTACTTTATATGTGATTCCACCACAGCATGGCTTGATAAGCAGTGCATCGGTGTGCGCCCGGGATCCGAACCTGTGAACCCCGGGCCCGTGGCTGCCGAAGCGGAGCACGCGAACTTAACTACTATGCCAGGGAGTGGGCCGGCCCCCATATGTACATTTTTATTAACAGGAAAACCATGTTAAAAGAAAACAACAAAAGCAAAATAAAAACTTTTTTCTACTTGAAAAAACTTGAGAAATGTATAATAAACATGATTCTTTCCTCCAGAGACCCATCTTGATCCCTGTGTATTCCTCCCCCACCCCCATTATTATTGAAAATTAAGGATCAAATGTTCCATTTAGTGTTTTAATCATTCCTTTCTTCACCCCTGAAATATTGTCCCATTAACAGAAAATGGTGTCAGAAGCACTTTATTAATGGAAATTCCTTCTATGTGCTTCCAAGTAAAACAAAAACATCATTAATAGCAACAAGATAAAACCAAAAAAACCCAAAACAAAACAAATAAAACCACTTCTATGTCCCCAACACTGATCACACAGAACTGAAGGGAACCAAGCCATTTTTGCACATCATTTGGAGTGTAGATTTTATTTGGATTTAAGAATCTCCTAAACAAATTACATCAACCTCACTCCATTTCCTTCCTTAATAAAAATTATGACTGGACAAATATCGGACTTTCAAAATTCTAAAAATAATAGAAAATTAAAAATAGATTTCCTAGGGAAATCTCTCTCCTAAACCTTACATGGTTTTGCTGCTTCTGTGAAATCTTTCTCTTTGGAGTAACTCGGTAGCATAGTTTTCCATTTTTTTTGAACTGGGTTCATACAAGGGCACTGAATTTGAACTTCAGCTGACTTATGGAGCATGAACTTTTATGAGCAATAAGTTACCTCTGCTCGAAAAGGAAAATGGCAAGTGTAAATGAAAGAATGGGAACACTGGAAGTCCATTTCATTATGTAATTTAAGTCTTACAGTAGACAGCGCACCCTCATTTAAAAATAAAACAAGAAAACAGAATGGTATGAGCACTCTAAAATCATCTGCAGCACTTTTAAGGGTTAAACCTGCTTAACCCATTCTTAGTCTGAGAATGGCACCAAAGAGGACAGCTCACCTTCAAGTGTGGCTAGTTCTAACCCTGCGGTACCCTCAGGTCGTCTGAGCAGTCATGCACTCTGTTTCCACCCCCCTCCCACCCAATTAATAGGATCCATTCATTGCTACTCACTACTGCAGGATTTGACCTGAGAAATGCTAGGGTTTATTAACTCAGCAGTTGTTTTGGAAAGTCCCTAATCTTTGCCCTTGGCCAGCAAGGGAACTGCTAGTCTCAAGTTCTCAGAAGCAGCTGGTGAGGTGCTCAGCCAAGTTCTTCAGATGCAGGAAGTTCTTCAGGACAACCTACCTTAACGTGGCATTTACAAATCTTTAAACCAGGCTTCCTGGATCTAGGAAATGTTATTCCTGACTCCTTCGACCCAGATGCTGGCTAAAATTTAGTGTTTCTAATCTGTAGGTGATCACCCTTTCTCTCATCTTTCTTGCTTTCTAGGAGCTGGCATGGTGGTTAAATTTTTCTAAAACAGTCATATTAATATGTTCAAAAATCCACTGCTGAGTCTCAGAGAGAGGGTCACATCTGGCCATGAAAATCTTCTTCTCTGCGGGGTTGCAATCCATGCAGCTGTTGCTCACAGGATGGAATAATGTTCTGTCCTGGAGGGATCGGAAAGAAAAGAAAAAACTGACATAATATATAGTGAATGGTTAGAGCCCAAAATATACAGAGGAAGTAAAATACCCCTGTTTATATTTCAGTATATACCCATATATACTGTGAAAGTGTGTGAAAAATAGACTGTCTTCCAACTCAAACAATAGCACGTTGGGTTGCCATGTGAAAAGTGGTTTCCTAGGATCCATTGGCGCTGTGTAGGGCCTCCAAGCAGGTTCAATCAGAAACAAAGAATTTATTCATTCATTGATTTTTTTTTAAAAAGCAATCCATTCACTTCCCACTCTGTGGTAAGCATTTTGCCACATGCTTGGGTTTTGAAGATAATAAGTCTACGAGATTGCTTGTCAAGTAGCTAATAATCTAGCTACCGAGGAGAGGCACGTATACAAAAAGATTATTTTAGGGGCCCGCCTGGTGGTTTTGCGGTTAAGTTCTCGCTCTCCGCTTTGGCAGCCCCGGGGTTCGCTGGTTCAGATTCTGGGTGCGCACCGATGCACCGCTTGTCAAGCCATGCTGTGGTGGCGTCCCATATAAAGTAGAGGAAGATGGGCACAGATGTTAGCCCAGGGCCAATCTTCCTCAGCAAAAAGAGGAGGATTGACAACAGATGTTATCTCAGGGCTAATCTTCCTCACACACACACACACAAAAATATATGTTATTTTAGTCCATAGTAAACAACAACAGCAACACACACATTCACACAAACGGCTAGAAGAATCATAATTTTCCCTGCTCTGAATTGAGCTTTTAATGGGAGAGGGAACTACAAAAGAAACAGGAACCAAACAGTGAGATGCTCAGTTGCCCTACTCAGGAGATGAATCTGGGTTTGGGAATAAGCGATGCACAGGCAATATCTCACTGTACAAACATGAATTTGTTTGCTCTTGAGCTTCTGTCACTTCTCAACCCCTTTATTGCCATTACAGCTCTTCCTGCGGTCCAATTCTCATTGTTTTCTGTCAAATGCAGGAGGCAGTGTTCACTTTTTTAAGAAAGTCCCTAAGGACGTGATACAGATAACAGCTCTGTGAATGCAAGGTCGTACCAGGGCACAAGTTTAAGTGGTGAGCAAGCCCACTATCTGAATAGGGGCCATCAACACATAATCTTTTTTATTGTGCAAGTAGGGAAAAGGAAGTTAATGCTAAGAGAAAAAGATCTTTCCTTCACTAGTGATAAAACTTATTGTCTCTTACAGCATCTATTCTAAAAAAAAAAAAAAAAAGTGCCAATAACATGTAAAAACATCCCCAAATCACAACTTAAATTTTAGGATCAAGTAACGTTTTCTTATTTCACTTATTTTCTTTAACTGAAGAATATTAGACTTACAATGCTTTTAGAATTAAAGAGTTTCTCAGGCATCCTGTGTAAACATTTCTTTGTTTCCACTAGGGGTTATGACTCCAACAACCAATATTTAACGTCCTTTTAGGATCCGGATGTTTGCATAGTTAGGCACTGGGTGAAGGAACTAAGGAGAAGGAAGGAGAAAGGCTGCCTGCAATTTCGTTTGCCTGCTTCTATTTTCAGTGCAAACAAAGAGCTACGCCTGATACAAATGCTCACTTTTCTCTCCATTCTCTTTAAAGTTTCCTGAGTTTATTGTGGCTCCTGAGGTCTTCTTCCCGTTTTCCTCAGCCCTTGCTTCCCTAACTCAGCTGCTGTTTGACCCCAGGGGAAGCTCGGAGGAGCTCTCTCCTACTCTGGGTGGAGGTAGCAGATTTTAGCAGGAAGGAGAGCCTGCTCTGTAGCTCACCCCACACAGATATCTTTCTTGGGGCCGATGTTTGCTCTCAGAGATCTCTTCTCACAGCCACATGGCTCCTTGGGCTGCAGTCTCCTTCACTCCCCTGCTCTCTTCCCTCCCAGCATCTCTCATGCTCAGTCTCCTATCCCCAGCTTCTACCAGGTTAGCCAAATGGGCCTAATATATTTAGATCAGTTTTTCAAAGAGCATTCTTAAACTGTTACATTCATGAAAATTCAATGTGACCTGCTAAATCCTAATTCACTTCTTTTTCCCCTTAACTCTCAGTATTTCTTCCTATTGTTACCTTTATCAATAGCTTAAGTGGGGATCTCCAGATGCTCACAGTTTCTCCCCCAAAGCACATATTTCCATGAAAACTAAAAAAATGAGAAAAGAAAAGGAGTAGAACACATTTCTCTTCTCTTCCCTTCACCAGCTTGTGTACCTCAGCACGGATGCAAAAGCCAAACCAGATCTTCTGAACATTTTATTTTTCCACACTTAATTTTCTAAGCCATAAGGTGATCACATTTTTCCAAATCTCGAATTGGAGCACATGCTCTGACAAATCCAGGTATACTCTTGGGGACAACCAGGCAGGATATGCAAATTCAGCACTACCCTAACAAATCTGGAATGGGTTTTCTGTTATTGCACTTCATGTTCTCATAAAAGTTACATTCCTTAAATCTATCTATGTCTCAGAAGCTTCATCAGGAAGATGAGGGGGTGGATAAGATCAACGTCTAAGGCCTGTCCCAGCCATAAAATTGAATGAACATTTGATTCCAAAGTTCACTGGTGACAGAGACAAACAACAGGGCATCAAACTAGAGACTATCAACAATACTCAGCAGAGCAACAGACTGATTGTTCTCTGGTTATAGACTGAGCTCTGCTCACCTTTGTCTTTGGAGTATCCAGCAGGTCCAAGAGGTGAAGCTTCTGGAAGCATCTTCAGCCTCCCCAGCGCATGCATTTTCCACTTTTGACCTCGGGAGCTACATACATTGCCATCTTCATGTTTCTACTCAGCTAAGCTTTTGGATTACTAAACGTCTTTACTAATGCTTTTCCTGGCTGGAGTTAAGTCAGTGGATAGGGTAATCGCTCCTGAATATGGTCTCTTGTTCTATGACAGCCCTTTGCTCCTCTACCCTTCTTCTCCTTGGTCATGACAGGAGACGGCTGTAATAGAACTGAATACAGTTTTTTCTTTGAAATAGACTTCTTAGTGCTTTGGCAAGTCTGCTGTTCCACAACAATTCCCCTTAAAGGGCGCTTTCAACTGGCCTGTTCTTTGCTCAGTCTTCAGGGAAGGCACAGCATGTGCTTTGGCTGTTGAAAACGTAATGCCGCAAACTGCGTCTCCCGTACCCCTCCCACCATCCCTGACTGCTTCCTCCCTTGTTGTTTCTGTTTTGTTTTTGCCTAAGAAAATTAGAAATTCTTGAGCAGGAGAGGAGAAAGTTCAGATCCGGGGTTATGGAACTACCCTTCATAATCAAATCAGGGCAGGCTAACTGCCCGGTGCCAGCCAATCAGTCCACGCGGTGAAAGGCGTGGGCAGGACTTTTCAGGTAGCGCGTTGAAAGGGACATCTTCAAAGACGGCCTGTGATTTGATTGGCGTCTGTGTGACACTTTGTGGCATTCTCAGGCGAGCATTAAATTTTATTAGATTCCATACTTATGTAGGGTCCGAACTTGGAAAGAATAAGTTAGAAAACATTCCACACTGTGTTCAAGATAGTAAAAGAACTGAACACCACAACAGCAAAGACAATAAAATAGGTATGCGAGTTCATAACATAAGAAGATAATCAATTCTGAGAATAAAACTCCCACACTGTGGGAGAGGAGGCAACCCAGTGCTAGCTACAGGGCTGGGATTTGGTTCTACAGGGAATTTGGATCAAATTCTAGTCATGCCACTTACTTGTTGTATGGACAGTTATTTAATTCTCTGAACCTCAGCTTCCTCGTCTGTAAAATATAGATACTATCTGCCTCACAAGTTTTTTGTGAGGATAAAATGAGTTAATATATGTAGAATCGCTGGCACGGTGTCCTACATATAGTAAGTAACTAAGTAATAGTGATTCCACCCCCCTCTTCTCCTAGCTTATTCTTAGTCAGGGAGCACCCTCAATTCTAAATATCAGAATGTACTAACCATCTGGTTTGAGACCAGCTATTCAAGACCAACTTGCATTTTCTGGAATCCTGGCAAAATAGAATTTGCAAAAATTAGCACCTGCCTCAACCAGTTATCCAAATTGATACACCAGTACCTTCCATTTTAAGCAAAAGGATTTCTGGAACAACAGTAATCCACGGCTCTGAAATGAGCTCTTCTATGTAATTATGGTCAGAGTTTGTATATGATCTATGCGTTTAGGCCCTTTGCCTGAAATACAGCATTATTCAGCTCAGCTGAATGTAGTAGGTATATATAAATATATAGCCAGTGTGCAAATTTAAGTAGGGCGGCAAGGGTAAGCCTCATTGAGAAGGTGACATTTGGGTAGTCTTGAAGAAGAATGGGAATTAGCCATGCAAGTATCTGGGGGACGAAGGTTCCAGACAGAAAGAATGGCCAGTGCAAAGGCCCTCAGCAGGAATGCACTGTGGTGGGTTAGAGGAGCAGCGAGCAGGCCAGAGGAAGAGTGGTAGGGGATGATGTCAGAGGTAATGGAGGGCTAGATCACATGCTGGGGACCAGCTGGAGTGTAAGGAGCAAGATGGAGAATTCCAGACCATGATATCCAAGACATATCATGAAGAGACTGGCGTACAATGCTAATGCTTTATTTTTCATGCAAATTTTGGAGGGTGGTCACTGGAGGATTTTAAACAGTGAAGCCAAGGATCTGTATTTTGTGTGGATCGTGCTAGTGGCAGAGGAAGGCAGTGGACTATAGCCAAGAGAACAGTCAGAGGCTACCACAATCATCCAGATTTAAGCCGAGGCAAAAGCAATGGGTATGAGTTGGGGGTGACCTGAGAAATGATCTGAGAGGTATTTGAGAAGTAAATGTATAGGGTGTTCTGATTAATGGGATATGGGGGGTAAGGTAGAGGGAAGAAGTGGATAACTAAAGGAAAAGCAGGGTTGAGGCAAGAAACTCAGAAAGAGCGACAGGATTGGGGGTGGGGATGATGATTTCTGTTTCAGGTATAACGAGTTGGAGGTGTTTATGGGACATCATGGTTGACA